AGGGCACGCCCACATCTTGAATACTATGTGCAGATGTGGTCACCTCATCTCAAAAAAGATATCTTGGCATTGGAAAAAGTGCAGAAAAGAGCAACAAAATTAGGGGTTTGGAACAGCTGCCCTATGACAAGAGATTAAAAAGACTGGGACCTTTCAGTTTAGAAAAGAGGAGACTAAAAGTAGTCCTGGTCTGAGAAGTAAAGCGCTGACATGGATTAGAAACTGCTTAAAATACAGAAACCAAGGACCAGGAATTCATGATGAATTTTCAGCTTGGCAAAGGTTAACATTGGGTAACTAAAGGTGGAGCCCTGCGTGGATATACAATTAGTGTCTGATCTGCAAAAATGATCTGTGGATATCTGCATACACATCCATGGATATGGATACCCATGGATATAAAACAGGATTCTAGATTCAGAATTTGTATTCACTTCTCTAGCAACAAAAATGAGCCATGGATATTTGCATATATATCCACAAATGCAGATACCCATAGACATAAAGCAAATATCCATGGATTTGCAGGGCTATACCTAAAGGCTGTCCTAGAATTGGTGTTATTTAATATGTTTACTAATGGTATGTGATTAAATAGAGATATGAGTAAACTCACAAATAGCATCAAGTTATTTCAAATTGTCAATTAAAGACTGCTGTGAGGAAATTCTAGAAACCCCAGGAAATTAAGATGAAGGGGAAGCACGTCAGATACAATTTTATGTTGACAAATGCAAAGTAATGCATATTATAAGAAATAATTGAAATTACCCATTCATATTACTAGGGTTCTTACCTGTAGCTACTTAGGAAAGAGACTTGGGCATCAGTATGAACAGCTCAGTGAAAATCTGTGCTCAGAGTGCTGTACAGAGCAAACAAAATATTATTGTTAGTAAGGATTGGGATGGAAGCTAATACTAAAATGTTCTGATGCCTTTATGTAAGTGGTAGACCTACTTCAGGGATACTGTGTTTGGTCCTGGGCTAGGTTAACACTAAGGTAGTATAGTCCTGAATTTAAGCAACAGTATCCTATTTTACTGCGTTATTGTGCTTGGTTTTATTATAGTTCAGCACTGTAAATTGTCAAATTATACCACAATTTTATACTGATATGTTCCCACCCACTCTAATCCAGAGAGCAGTGACTGGTTATTCAGCATCTTTACTTATAGGTGGGTCATTGCCTATTACTAAGGTTGCTCGTAGGGTTTAAAATTATAAGACCCTGATACCAATTGCTTATAACTTTGCCGAACTTGGCCTCTAGAGTTGAAATTTTCCCTGCTAGATATCTGCCTGAAGAATCTTTTTATAAAGTTTCAGTTAAAATGGTTCAGCCATTTCTTTGGACAAGGTTGGAAAAATAAGTTGTTTTGCAGTGTTAAAAAAATTTATGTGATCTTTTCTTTGAGAAACTATAGTACTTTGGCATGTGGTACCCTTTGTATTAGGAATCCACCTTTTCCTGTTCCCAGAAATATCTGCTTAAATTTGAAAAAGTTACAAGCATTTGAAAAATCTGTTTTTACATGTTCAGTAGTCTGAAACTTCTTTTAGTTGTGTAGCTAAAATCTCTGAAAAGTCTATCCTCACTGACCATGTTCCAGCCCATCACAGGTCCTATATGTGATGGAGGCCATGTCTATAGTAGCAAGCTCACTGATGCATCAGTGCTCTTCTAAGATCACTTGTGTAGCTGTTGTATGATGATGAGAGAGAAGCTCTCTCCTCAGCATAGCGCTGTGCACACTACGTCTTGTATGGCAAACTTATGTCATTCAAGGGACAAACTACAAACAAAAAATCACCTCAAATATTTTAAATAGAGAGGCGGGGTAAAAATACTTTAAATAAATAAATAAATGATAGTGTAAACATGGTCTGAATCACATACACCATTCTTACAGACTGACTGAGCATGCCCAGGGCTACAGAGGTGAAGGTGAGCATAATGGTCCCTTCTGACCTTAAAGTCTATGAGTCTATGAAGGTGTACATTCTCCATAATTGCTGCCCTCAGCTGCTCTGGGCCAAGGAGTTGTTGAGCATCAGAATAGAGAGCAGGGAGCCTCTCTCTCTTGTATGAACAATTGGCATGAGGAAGATACCTGATGCAAATTAGGGATGTATAATCCTGTTTAACCAGTTAACCGGTTAAACATTATATTTAATTTGTTAATTGCTTAACCAGGATCCTGCGAACAGATTAGAGTGCTCAGCATTTTGTAGGAATAAACCTGAAGTGGTGTTCTAATCTAATAAATAGCGCTTAAAGGTGTGATTAGAGGATTATGATTAGAGGATAAGGAAACTCAAAATAAATAGGAGAACGGAAAGGGGGTAAGAAAAGAAAGATGTTTTGTCGCCCACCCCCCTACCTTTATGCATAAAGTATCAGGAGAAAGGATGTTAAACCTGAGTAGATAAAGATCAAAGTCAGTGGATGGATAAGGCAGGAAGGATACCATTCAGAAAGTAGTTAGCACCTTCATTGATAAATGTTCCACCACCCCATATCTTCACTAAGTCCATAATTAATTGAATTGAATTTGCATATGTATTGTAATTCCAAGCTTTCCCTGTGGATTTTGCCTGAGGAACTGGCCTGTGACAAGACTGCCACCTTCAGATCTGTGAGATTATGGTTAGGGAAACAGAAATGTTCTGCCACTGGCTTCTGAGTATTTTCTTTACGTATATCCGATTTGTGTCCATTGATTCTTTCACGTACAGAACGTCCAGTTTGACCAATATATATAGTAGAGGCGCACTGTTGGCGTTTGAGGTGTGTCTATTTTTTCCTTCTGTCCCCTTTTTCCTTCTCCCTCCTCCCCACACTTCCCTTATTCATCCTTGGATCTAGACTTATTATACTCTGGTCCTCTGAAAAAGTGGGTTTTGCCCATGAAAGCTCATGATGCCATCTACATGTTTTGTTAGTCTATAAGGTGCTACTAGACTATTTGTGGTTTTTTAAAAAAGTTTTTTCTATTTTAATAGTGGTTTCTCCTAAGAAGTTCTGTGTGCATATGATCAATTCCATGAAGCGAAGCTTTGATTTTTTTTTTCCTTTGGCAGACTATTTTAAATATTATTCAAGATTTCCAATTTGTTTCATATAGAGTTTAATCTCAGCAAAAGCCCCTAATCTTATTTACATATACATTGAGGATGAAATTGAGCACTACTAAACTTAGTATAACTGCTGAGGTCCAGGAAATTGCAATTTACATTATGTTTGAACTTGGCCTTAGCATCATTGTATTGTCATTACTAGAGCTCTGTGTATCTGCAGCTGCCAGGTAGAGAGGGGAGAGCCAGGGCAAGCCCCTGCACTGCTGGCAGGAAAGGATGCAACAAGATCCGTCTTAAATCTCCCTGAATGAGGAGACCGTGCCAACCCTGCCCCTCCTGCGTCTGGTGAGCACTGACTTGTGTAGCCCAGGCCTGGGGTCCCTGCTGCCCCTTCCCCCAGTCCCTCCTTTCATGCTGCCCTCCTGGTTCATCCGTGCTCCTCCCCCCGATGGTTTGCTGGGTGGATGCAAGTAAAATCCATCGCAAATTGTGGATCAGGCAATAAGTTGAGCCTGGTGGGTGCAGATTGGATGCGGATTGTTTTGTCATTAGTCATTAGTTGGCGCACTAAATTGCCTAGTAGTGTTTCAGTAATTTGTGTTATTTTCTATAGTATAGAAAATGTAAAGATATAAAAGTATATACAAGTTGAACCTCTCTAGTCTGGCACCCTCGGGACCTGACTGGTGCAGATACAGAGAATTTGCTGAGCCATGGGATGTCAGTATTGTCTAGAAGCATTACCAAAACTTCCATTCCTACTGGCCTCTTAGAAGACATTTCGGAGTAAATTAGAGCTAAATAACAGCACAGAACACTGAGCGCCAGGACTGGTGGCTGTAAACAAACTTTACAGGACCGTGGGAAACTTGGTCACATACATGATTTTAGCCAGATGTCCACATATCATGCCGGATCATGGATGTTGCCAGACCAGAGAGTGCCGGAGAGGTTCAATCTGTAATACAGCTGCCTTGTATATTTCTTGCTAAATCTGAGGTATCACACTCTGAAATTCAATGATAATGTAGCATCGTGTGAATATTTCCATACTTGAAACAAATTCTGACCTGTTGTAAATACAAGTAAAGATAACTCAATTCAGTGCAGATTGGAAGGGACCACAAAAGGTTGTCCCCTTCACTGAGGCAGGGCCAAATAAACCTAGCAGGTATTCATTCAATCTTTCTTAAAAACCTCTAATGATGGGAAATCCACAACCTTCCTTGTTAAACTATTCTACCGTTTAACTACCCTTATAGTTAGAAAGCTTTTTCTGATATCTTTTCTAGATCTCTTTTGCTTCCGACTAAATTCGCTATTCCTTGTTCTACCTTCAGTGGACATGGAGAAGAATTGATTACCATCCTCTTTATAATAACATATTGGAAGACATATCATATCAGGTCCCCTTCAGTCTTTTTTTTTTTTTCAAGACTACATGTGCCTCATTGTTTTAATCATACAGATCTTCCTGCTTTGGGCAGGGAGTTGTACTCAGTGACCTGCTAAGGTGTCTTCCAGCCCTATGATTCTGTGATCAGTTTTTCCAATCTTACCATTTTTGTTGCTCTCCTCTGTAATCTCTCTAGTTTGTCCACACCTTTCTTAAAATATGGCGCTCAGAACTGAACAGTCACCAAGCCTGAATTTAGCCTTTCTGTATAGTTTTGGTCACGAATCAGGCATAATTAGATTGTGTCTAATCATAATTTAAGTGCACTGTATCATTGCCAATTCTTGTTAGTCATTTTTATTGTTAAAAGAGATATAATTACAAAATAAGTTATTGTATATTTGGGTTTAATAGATTAAGGAATCAAGACAGTATGCAATAGTTTTAAATTACATAGAATGTTCTTGCAAAGAACTGTGTAAGCATCAGAATATGTTGAAAAAACTCAATTTCTGGATTTTAGGAAACCAATTTCATGCATGGAATTCCATATTAATAATGAACTAATAGAAGTTGTTCCAAGTTCGAATCCCCATTCACAGACTGACACAGAAGATGCCTATTTACTTATGAAGAATCACTACAAAGAAGAATTCACCCAAGTTGTCTGGGCTAATCCTGACTATGTCCCTGTAGTTAAAGCACAAGATCAAGGTAATTAGTCAATTTCCCTTACTTACAGTGATTCATTCATTCATTCATAATTTTTCATCTGTAGGTCACTGGTTTTAAAATAGATCAAGGCCCTGATTCTGCAAACACATATTCATTTGCTTACCCTTATACATGAGTAGTCTCATTCACTAACATTTAACTCCAATGTGCTTGCAGGATTAGAACCATCATCTGCTATTTCAGAAAGGTAATACCACTGTTTGTTGATCTTTTTGAAAGTAGTTGCTAGTCATATTCTCAGTTCAGTTCTTAATGAAGTGGTATGCAATTAACAGAAATCCCTATAAAGTTTACATTAATTGGCAGTCTCGCCAATCCAAGAACGGAATGGCCAATGGACACCAAACTATCCTACAATCATAAGTGGTAGTCGCCAAATCAGGTATACACTCATGTTGGAACAAGCATGCACTGACATTGTCTATGTTGTACTTGCTTGTTGGAAGGTTGGCAGTGTGCTCTGGAATGGCAGTATTCCAAGGTAAACTCATAGCAAGATTCCAAGGAGTGATCTCCCTCACCAGTTCAGGGTCATTGGTGAGAATCCAAATGTTGCCTTGCCTAGTGACTATAATTTGAAGAAGTGTCACTCACTGGTGAGAATGGAAGGGAAGGAGCCAACACTATTATTCCACTGGGTTCTGATCCAGGGACCTTCAAAACAGCATCTCTTATACATGGCCTAGGACCTGATACCTTTAAGTGTGCTTCCGTACCTTATTCCATTTCCTCCGTGGTCTCTACTGTGTTCACCTCTGATCCATGTCCTGTATCTCCTTTGCTAGCAAAAGTGAGTCTTTATTTTCAGCTAGTGCAATCAATGGACTTCCAGGGCTTGGCTCTGACTGCTGCACCTGACTCTTTCATAGTCAACACAGATTAAATTGCACTGCTGTCTTTTGAATGCTCCAGCAACTGGGAGCATGCCCAGCAAAGACAAGAGAGTGTGACTTCCTGTGTCCCAAAAAGCTCCTTTACCATCTCCTGGCTTACATTGTTGCCAGCCCTCCAAGATTCTCCTTCATCTTCCAAGAATTAAATATTAATCTTTAATTAAAGATTATGCCATATGATGAAACCTCTAAGAATACATTTAAACACAATTAGAAACCCTAGGTTGTTACACCCTCCTGTTGCAGTGCTCTTTAGATAAATAGAATACTGTTGTTATGGTCTGTGTCTAGCAAAGCATTTAAACACATGAATAGCCCTTTTGAGTAGAGTGGGACAACTCATATGATTGAAATTATTCATGTAATTCAGTGCTTTGCTGATTTGCGCGCTATCACATTATTATCAGCATTAAAGTGATTTTTTCAAAAATAAAGAGTGTAGGCCAAACAGTCATTTAAAATGTATTTATAGAGCACTCATATACAGCATTATAATATTTAACTGCATACTTATATAATACTGTGTACTCACATCTCAAAACAAAGTGTATGATATATTTCAAAACTATGATCATTCCATTAATATGGGAGCCCATGGTGCTAAGCACTTTATAAACTAAATACAGTAAAATTCCAATAGTCTGGCATCCAGTAGTCCGGCACTCCTTGATAGTCCGGCATTAAAATGGCAAGAGCCTAGTGAGTGAGCTTCGGCAAAAAATGAGTCACAAGGTAACAGCGGCAGCAGCTGAACTGAGCAAAAAGGGTAAAAAAGGCTTAAAAAAACTAAAACATTACAGTATACTGTATACAGTATGTACAATAAAAAGGGTTAAGAACATTTTATATACAGTATATAATGTATTCAGTATATATATAACCATCTTATAGTACCTCCTGATAGTCCGGCATATTTGATAATCCGGCACAACCTAAGTCCCATAGGTTCCGGATTATTGGAAGTCTACTGTAGTTAATTTTAGAAAAAGAGAAAAAATTTTGAGAAAGAGAAACTTCTCACACCACTGCTCAGCTACCATAAGTAACTCCTGCTTTGACAGAAGATATTCTTTTGTCCCTTCAAGGTGATCGAGAAGATCACTATGAGAAGAGAAGAAAACAGTCATGAGATATTTGGGAGAAATTCCTAATTGTTTTGACCAGAGATGGAAGAGATAGCAAATGAAAGCTGAAGATCATCCTTTCGGGTCCCCTGAGGCGTTTGGGAAAGATCATCATTTTGCCAGCTTTTTGCTATTGACTTAGGGTACGTCTAGACTACATGCCTCTGGCGACAGAGGCATGTAGATTAGGCTACCAGACATAGGAAAATGAAGCGGCGTTTTAAATAATTGCCGCTTCATTTAAATTTACATGGCTGCCGCGCTGAGCCGACAAACAGCTGATCAGCTGTTTGTCGGCTCAGCGCGGCAGCCATGTAAATTTAAATGAAGCGGCAATTATTTAAAACGCCGCTTCATTTTCCTATGTCTGGTAGCCTAATCTACATGCCTCTGTCGCCAGAGGCATGTAGTCTAGACGTACCCTAAGTCAATAGCAAAAAGCTGGCAAAATGATGATCTTTCCCAAACGCCTCAGGGGACCCGAAAGGATGATCTTCAGCTTTCATTTGCTATCTCTTCCATCTCTGGTCAAAACAATTAGGAATTTCTCCCAAATATCTCATGACTGTTTTCTTCTCTTCTCATAGTGATCTTCTCTTCCTAGCCTGTGTCACCATCAGCCCCAAATTATCTTAATGAATGAAACAGGACCTCCTAACTTCTTTGGAAAAATATTAAGATTATTTAAATACTATTGAATTCCTTTAATTAAAGAAAAGAAAGAAGGAAAGAAAAACATTTTGATTGCGTGTCCACATTGGACTCAGACAACATAGCTTTGATTGTTACCACATAGGGCATTATTAGATATAGCCAAAGAGATCAGCAACAACAACAATCTGAAATATAAGATCCTAATTCATCACAACATCTTGCTAATGGTAATATCATTGCCTTTTCAGTGGGACTAAGTTATCGGGATAGTCCCTTGTAAACTCTTAAGGGTTGATTCAAATGGAACAACCTGCCTTCTCAGTCCAGCTTTTTCATCAGGAATAAAAAACCCACATCTTATACTAGAAGTACGGATGAATTCTCCGTCCAGCAATCCAATTCTTCAGGCTCCAAGGAAAGAAGCTAGGTGCCTCTTTGTTTTAGTAATAGATGAAACCTTGGAAGCTACTGCCCAAGAGAGAATGCAAAGACAGGGAGTGAGAATTAATATGATTGCAGCTATGAGCATGTTTCTGGGTATGTCTATACTACAATAAAACACCAGCAGCTGGCCCACGTCAGCTGACTGGGATTCATGGAGCTTGAGCTGTGGGTCTAAAATTGCAGTATAGATACTTGGATTAGGGTCCTAGCTTTGGGACTCTCCCCGTCATGAGATGTCAGAGAGGAGCCCAAATGTCTACATTGCAGTTTTATAGCCCCACAGCCGGAGCTGTGGTTGTTTTATTGCAGTGTAAACAAACCCAGTGTGAGTTGAGGCAGACAGCCAAGAACACAACATTGAGAAAGCTAAGAGAGAAAAAGATTTTTCTGGACAGCATGCTGACTGGAAAGAGGCTTAGAATTCTAAGTAAGGAAATTGCCTCTAATTGATTCATGTTGAGGACAGGGATACAGAGCTGTATCTATTATTTGTAAACAAACAGAATTGCATCAAAGAAAATATAGTGCTAGATGCTCAGGCTAAAAAGTGTAAGTGTATGAATGAAAAAGGACCCATTCAAATGGCTAAGGTCCATAATTCAAATTATCTTAAAATGGTTATAGCTGATGTTCTGTACTTCGCTGTTTTAAATATTTTCTTGATTTTAAATAAATCCATGGCTGTTGCCAAATGTTAAGAGTGGGAGGAGTAAATTTTATGTTATATCTATATATCTACTATATATCTGAGAGAGTTTGTCTGTCTGTGCATCTGTCTATTTGTTCAAATACTTCTTTAAAAGGATAAGAGCTAGGACCACCAAATTTGGTATGCAGCTTCCTGTTATCATAATTTAAAGTAAGATAAGGGTTTGGTTGTGCCAGGAAAATGGTATGTGCCTAGAATGGGATTGCGTCTCATAAAACCATATAGAAAAGAGACAGAATTACCAGGCAGCTAAAAGGGAGGGGCTGCTTGGGGGTGCACCTCCCCCCTTCCAGGACTACTCAAGCCCGAAGCCTCCCACTTTCCAGGCATCCTTTAGGGAAGGAAAAGAGGGCTGAAACTGTTCCTCCTCCCCCAGTTTGCATGGTGACATTGCCGGATGTTCTCCTTTGTCAGGAAGCCAGGGGAAAATGCATCAGTTTGCAGCATTCCTCATTCTGGCTGGAGAGCACTGGGGGGAGATGAACCTGGACCTGGACCTGCCCCAGCTGAGAGACATGCACCCCTTCCCTGGCTGTGCCTGCTGGAGCTTCAGCAGCCAAAGGGAGGCACTTTTCACCTAGTCCAGAACAATGACTTCAATGAAGAAAAATATTGAAATAAAGTCCCACGCAACATCTGGTCAATCTTCTAATACATTATACTGTAGAGATGAAGAACATAAGAGTACTTCATTCCCAGCAAAGGGAATACACTTAGCCAAACACTGGACTCATTTATATGTATAAATTACCCAACAAAACCCTATTTGTAGTTTATTTAGCATAATTGATGGCACTGGTACACAAATGAGGACGTGAATAGAGATTTTGTTAATATAGTCTTCTTTAAAAAAATCCAGGGGGCTGGGAAATCAGTGCTTGCCAAATGAAACATAAAAAGATTGTTTTAAGATCCTAAAAGAGCTTTACAAACAATGAACATTTAAAATCAAATTTAAAAATTGTTATATTGAAAATAGCTATCCTTTTACACAATTTTAACTGTTTAGATATTTTAATCCTTTTTAAAATTTCTTGCTATTGCATAATTATTTTTCTCATCTTGTTCAAGATTTATATATTGCAGATGAACTTATTTTTATTGATCATTTGGAAGAATATCGTAAACAGCTACCTACTCTGCATACCCTCTTGGGCAGACTAAAAATTTTCTTAGTGAAGGATCCCCTCTTAAATTGTAAAGGACAGACTTTGACAGAAGACAATCTTTTCAGGTACTTACATAGTTGTTATATATTTTTGTACACAAAATCTCTTCCCCTTGTAGGTATCTGGATCGTAAGTATGATTACCATTTTAACATCTTAATTCCTAATATTTCATTATGAAATGTGTTCAGCTATGATTTTTTTATACTTGTAATGAAATAAGATATTTAATTGGTTTTAAAACTTAATCTCTTTGCGAGAGTCCAGGGGTGAAATAGTGGCTCTAGTGAAGTCAATGGAAAACTGAATTAAGTGGAGATGGAAATTCATCCCAGCAGTGAAGTCTACAGGGAAAGACTCTTTAGTTTTGTTTCCTGAGACTGTTCTCTGGTTATAAGTATTCAGGCAAGGTCTATTTTAGACTTGGAAGTTTGGCTTAGCACGCAACTTCAGCTACGTAAATAACATAGCTGGAGTCGACATACCATATGCTGAGCTTGGTGCCATCTTCACAATGGGAGATCAATAGGAGCAAATGCTTCAGTTGGCTTCCCTTGATCCTCACAACTGTAAAGATTACCAGTGCTGACCAGGGGCACCTTCACTCTTTACTAAATCCAGTAAATCAAACTTCAGAAGATCGATTGCAGATACAGCAAGTAGAGGCATGGCCTCATTTACTTCCTCCATGCCCACCTCCATTTTACTGGATCTTAATCAAGAAAGGTGTCCTTTTTTCAAATGTTTGAGCAAAGTAGTTGTTTTTAATGTAGTGAGAAATATGTTTGCAATATACTGACTAAATTTTGTCATGAATTACACCGTGCAGCAGTATTCCATGTAATTTCCATTTAAATTAGTGGGGTTCATCATCACATAGGCAAGTCAGGACTGGCTCCATAGGTGCTGACTGCTGCCTCTGCCTTTGAAATGTACAAGAAGTAGTGCTTCATATGGCTGTAGAGATCCATCTAGATTCATCACAGAATTAGGACCAAGGTGTTGAAAAGCATTTTCTCTTCTATTTACGTTATCTGTCAGTAGGCACCAGCTCATGATTTGGGCTTTAGTGATTTATACTCCTCAACCAAAGTTATTATTTCTAGGAGGTAGTAGTGGTGCTTCAGTGTTAGTGTGGAAGTGTACTTCCTGAACAATGCTGTCTTTCATAGCCATAAAGCCTTTAAAGACACGGGAGGACAGGGCACTGGGAAACTGACTGCATTCTCTTTGACTTCCATTGCTCCTTCATCTCTGGTCTACACTGGGGGATAAGTTTGAAATAAGATACACAATGTCAGCTACGTTAATTGCATATCTTGAATCAAAGTATCTTACTCTACCTTCGACTTCTCTTACTCCTCATAGAAGCAGGACTATCAGCATCGATAGGAGAACCTTCTCAATTCGAATTAGCGTGTCTTCACTAGACTCACTAAATCAAACCCCAGAAAATCGACTGTGGCTGCTTCAATCTTATCTAGTGTAGACGTGGCCTCACCGAGCCAAATGTTAACCTAGTTCTTCCTTTTTATTTTTTGTATTTATAGAGGTAAACTGATAGGCTTTTAAGAGCATTTTTAGATTTTAATTTTATTTATTATTAAACATACTCTGATTTATTTCATTGCATTAAATACATTTCACAGTGATTCACAGAAAAAAAAAAAATGTTTAAAAAAACTGAAGGAATCAAGCATTTTGATTTGTACTAAATTATAGAAGCTCTTAATATATTAGAAAAATGTATTTTGGTAAGGAAATGAGACTCTACAATTCTTCAGCGGAAAGCAATTTCAAATGAAATTGAATGTTATGACAACGATTAATTCTAAAACTGATCTACTGTAAAAATATGCAGAGATCTTATAAATTATTTTTTTCTCTTCTGTACATAAATTAGCAGTTAGTAGAGAGTATGATGAAAAGGCATTTCAGGTTAATGTTCACATTATAGCATGCCTTAGAATTGTTTTTCTAGAAAATGGTAGGTTTTTAATAATTTTTCCTGACATGTATCAAGGTTACTAGTCAAACTTTGTATTACAAATATAAAATAACAAACTAAAGAGAAGTCACTTATGCTATTTTCCTGATCTTTTATAGGGAATGTTTGACTTTCCAAAGCAATTCAGAGACACATGAAAAAGAACCATGTGGCGTCAAGGAAATTTTTTGTCAAATGTCTTTAAAGGATGAGGAGGTATTAAAAATAAGTTTTATCCCACTGATTTTAGTGACTGTTGCCTAATACACTTACCAATATAGTTAACTGTCTTCTGACTTAAAAGTGACCTGTAAGTCACTTTAACAGAATTCCCTGAATTATTGCAAAATGTGCCAAATGCCTCCTTTAAGCCAAGATAAAAAGAGTATTGGTTTAAACTGGGTTTTTTGGTTTTATTTTCTTGGACTCCTGTAGTGAGAAGCCCCACTTGGGGTGTCTATATTTATGCTGTGATCAGATGCATGACCATATGCTAGGTTGGTGACATTAGATCAAAAATGGAAACTAAGTAGAGTGAGGGTCTACCCTTTGTGTGGTGGGGG